TTGTTTTCCTGTCAATAACTTCCACATGGATAATTCCTCCGTTAGTTGATAAGTGCTGTTCATCAAAATAACTGAATAGCCAAGGTTGCTCTGTGCATTTTGTAGAGCTGTTCATGTAGGTGTTCAAGTGACAAGCCTCAAAGGCTTAACAGTGACCCTTTTATCTTCAAAGCTCATTGTCCAAACATTTGTAGACAGATGCCAGCAACCCAAACTGAGCTTCCTGGCTGCTAGGCTTTCAGTAAACAAACAGACAGTTCAAGCTTATAGGTGTCAACACAGGAGTAAAATAAGCACGCTTTTTGAAATGTATACATGCAGTTTTATCCAAACTATGCTGCTTTTATAACAGTAGAGACAGTCGTGAATGTATGACACAAATATTTTTATGATTTTCTTGAAATAGATTTGCTGATAGCTTGGGATACAGAAGTAATCTCTACCTCATCTTCCCTGGCGAGCAGTGGGATGCTCCCAACCTTTGCAAGTAGGTTACCAAGAAAGGCTGGAAAATTGTGCCCTAAGAGGAGAATATGAATGTTGATAGGAAAGAATTTTCTTCTCCCATATCAGAGGCAGAGCAAAAAATCCTTCAAGGGAAGGCAAGTCTCCTCTATGAAGGTGATGAAAGCAAAGGAAGGATCATCCTGTCAGGGATATTCTCTCAGCCAGAAGAAAATGGAAGGAGGTTTTGGATTTTACGTGGAGGTCAAGAAAAAAATACCACAGGGGATGTATCTTTTCTCTCTCCTGCCCATCCACTGCCACAGGGCATTCTGATGATGATTTTAGAATAAATGCCTAGATTAGCCAAATCTTTATTCAGGGTACTGGAGACAGTTAATCAGGACTAGCAAGTTTATTGTGGCCTCTTTAGCGGCCATAAATTTACAGCTATTTAAAGGCTGTTTCTCCTACTGAACTGTATCTACTTGTCATATTTGTCAGTAGCTTTAGAACTATTTTTATAACAATTTATGGAGTCTGATATTTCGGGGAAGGGGTGGGTTTTGTTTGTTTTTCATTTAAGCTGTTAGAGATCTTGACCAAGCTTGGAAAACTGCTTTTAGACCAAGCCATGACAACTTGGTGTTTGCACAGGGTATACATACATATATATACATATCAACAACAACAGGACATTGCTGACAACGTGACAACAGAGGTAGCACAGACCAAAACAGTCTGCAGAGAGTAATGATGCAAGGACTACAGTTGAGAAATATTAGGAAAGAGGGCAGCATGTTCATACAGAATTAAAAAAAAAAAACTGCAGCCTGCAATGCAAAAACAAGTTAAGTTGCCTCAGAGGGAGAGAGGCAAAGAAAGATGACTGATCCCAATATTTCTTAGCCTTGGTCAGACCAGTCGGTTAAATTACACGAGTGTGCATCCAAACTGGGGACAAAGGCATGTGCTTGGGCACAGTGCTCTGAAGTGTTATTATATCCAGAAATCAGCTGGATCTTTTCTATAATAGTACCAGTAATTATTGTACCATGAGCTGTCCAAACATATAAATGAAAGGAAAGCAATCTGAAGTTTATTATAACAAAATTGCTGCATCTATTAAAAAAATAATTTTACAGTCCAAATTCCTCTGTGGCTGTTACAATAAAAGCATCTGTTCAGAGTTGCTACTCAAAGCAGTATTGCTTTCCATTTCAATGAATGGGATTGCAGAAAAGAACAGTAAAGATGATCATGTTTATGATCACCTTTATGACATGCTAACAGAACGGGGAGGGGAATATAAACCACGCCTAGTGTTGTTCTGTATAATAAAGGTACATAATACATAGCTCAGAATCTCATCAGCTCCCATTAAGTTAAGCCAGGGCTTTCTAACTTCTGAACAGCCAGGAACTGAATGCCCTATGGGCCATACCAATCAAGACTGCATGCTCGCAGGCCACTTCAAGGTGAGCCATGGGCCTTTCAGGCTCCATACCACATGGATGCCCTCATCGCTGCACTGTGCACCCATGGCCTCCTCAACAGCTGTAATATATGCCCCCATCCCAGCACCACACTCCCTCATCCCTGACCACATGTCCATGCAGCCCCACACTTACACTCAGCTCCCTGCTGGGACAGGCAGGAAAAGCTAGAAGAGGAAAGGGTAGCCCCAAGACTCTGGGTGGTGTAACAATCAGAGTAATGGGGGCCACAACTTAACCCCTGCAGGTTCAGCTGAACAGCCCTGACCAAAGCCCCTAATGAACATATTGGGGCTTACAGGGGTAGCGTATTACATATTCTAGGAATACATTTTCCTCTGATCCCCCTATGTTCATTTAGCTTGATCCTGATCTAACTATCATTAAAATTAACTGGGCTTTTCAATTTAGAACCAGATTAAGGCAAAGCCACTTTTCCTCTGAATGCAATGAGCTGTGCAATGATTTCAGAATCTCAGATTTCACTTTACAAAGTAAAAAAAAAATTAGCCCTCCTGATTAAGAAGAAAAGCTTGAAAACATCATTTGAGTATTAGCAAAGCAGAGGTGTTTGCCTGAGTCTACAGACAGAGTGCAGCAGCTGTCACTGGACCCAAGGAGGAAGCTGGTGGCTCTGTTCCTACAGTCACAGCCAATCAAGTCTCCTGCTTTACAGGAGGGTTAATGGAAACTATACCAACAAGAGACTTATGTTTGGAGACAGGAAAGCTAGGTAGTGGATACAGAAGCACATGCATAGGCAGCTGGAACTGCTCAGTGTTATTGAGTTCTGAGATTTCTCTCAAGCACCTTGGACCCAGACTGTTTATTCAACATTGCATGCTACCAGGAGCAAATATAAATCTAAAAGGGTATGTGGAGTAAAAGAATGGAGCAGCAAGGTACTCTGCTAAAGCAGAAACCCTTTACTTAGTTTCAGCACGCATCAGTAAAAACCCGACTCACATAAAGTAGGTTTACATTTGATAGAGATCTGAGGTGCTTGAGAAGTGAAAGGTTAATGTGACAAGCAAGCTCATACCATCTAGTCTCTAATTCCACATTCATTTTATATTGATATTTTCTCTCTGATGGCCTTGATTTAAATAGCCATTTATTACTAAAGGATGAGGAGTCCATCAAGAGATACTGCACCATTAATACTGCACATCAGGAATTGTTGGTTCAGGTTTGCACAGTTTAGGATTATTTTCAGAAGGAAAAAAGGAAAGCAAAACTGAATAGATATTCAATCTGAGTAGCATGAGCAACAGAATTTCCTTGGAAATATACTTCAGACATCTAAGTATAGTGGATGGGGCCAAGAAGAACCTTTGGCATAGCTATTAATTTGGTCCACTTTCTTTATACCTGTTGTCTTTGTGAACATAGGCACTGTATTATTGATTGTACTGGATTTTCATCAGTTTACAAAGGTACAGACCTTCTGGACTAACTCACTGGCTTTTTCTCTGAAAAGGAACATCTATAATATATATGTTCCAACTGGATAATGAAGTGAGTACAGATAAAGATATCTGACACTCTGGGCCTGAATCACCTATACATTCACTTAATTTTAAGTGATAAACTAGGTTCTTTGTGGGTACATTTACATGTGCAAATGCTGCAGTTTGGGTTTACTCCAGAGTAATTTACTTCGGAGTAAACCCACCTTGGGTAGGCATCTATACATGCAGGGTTTTGGGAACAGATTTGCTGCTCCTGGCAGTAGTCTGCTACCATCCCCTCTAGCCCTGCACCGGGCCCCTGCAGCAGCCAGGAGCAGCTGAAGGCTCTGGCCACAGCTGCCTGTGGCCAGAAGGCATCTTTAAAAGTCAGTCCTGTGCACTGCTCCCTGGCCACCTGCCTTCTTGGGCTGGAGCAGCCTGCAGAGCGCTGGGCCAGCACACGGAGGCTCTGTCACTGGAGCCTGTGCCTACCACCCCATGGCTGCTCCACCCCCAGACCCCAGGAATGACATCTAGCACCCTAAGCTCCTGCTGGCCACCCTGCTCATCATGTGGCCTACTGCAGCAACCGCCATCTGGCCCAGGTCAGTCTTGGCCCTGACATTCCCACCACATGGTGAAGTTACCTGGCCAGGTTCATGATGGTGCCCCAGGCCTCCTGCTATCACGCTGCTGCCAGACAGACCCCAGCAGGGATGCCAATGACATGCACCTGGATGCCAACACCAGTGCCATTCATGCACTTCTGGGGCTCCAGCCCAACCACCTGTAGATCACCCAGCCAGCCAGGATTGGTGGCTGCAGGTCATCCAGACCACCTGGACTGGCTCCAGTGTGAGATGCATGGGTATAAGCCCATCATGCCCCCACGAGCACAAGACACTGGCAGACCGTCTGGCAGACCCTGACCCCCAGCGAGGAGCTGGGAGGTAAGTGGGGCCCACAGTGAATGGGTGCTAGCTAGCAGCGGAGCGGCAGCTGAGCAGAGCTGAAGAGGGTATTGCCCTGCCCTCCCCGCTTGCTCCTATTTAGTCCAGTCCCCCAGAAAGTCATGCAATTGGAGCCATGCAAACGGAGCGTGCAAACAGGCATGCTCTGGGCCTGGTTCATGAGTTAGCATGGGACTTCATGTGGAAGGGCACATGAAAGTGCAGGAGGCTCTGAGCAGCAAGCCCACAAACTGAGACACTCAAGTACTTGGTAGTAGCTTAGACTATACTGTAAAATGTTGGGGACACACTAAACCCTGAAGATTCCTGCCTCTCCCTCTGTTAGAACCATATCCCTCCCCCTCGCACCACTGAGGCCTCCACCCAGATGCAGTCTATGGCTTCAGGCTGTGGGGCTGCCTGGCACAGCTGCTACCATCTGGAAACAAGATTAAGGGCACCCTGTTTGTGGGGTATGTTCCCTTGTGTGGTCTCTAGACTGCCATATGAGGGAGCTCCAGGTAGAGTTGAGCAGGCTTGACACCATCAGGGCCCATGAGCAGGACATCGATTATTACTACCAGGCCCTATACCTGAAGAATGGAGAGGGAAGAGCACAGAAGTCTATCAGCACAATGAAGGAGAACGATGAGACTGACCTGGAGTCCCATCTTGGAGTTGCCTGGGAGATAGTTGTCTATGGCCCCAAGGCATGTGCCAGGGTTACTCCTCCCCTAGAACTGGAAAACAGGAATGAGCTTCTCATAGCACTAGCAGAGTCATCAACAGAAGCACCAAATCTGGAGGAAGGCAGGAAGCCAGCCCCCTCCCAAAGAAGAGCTGCAAAGTGGTCATGGTGGGCAACTCCCTCCTGAGGGGGACTGACGGAGTGATCTGCTGCCCCAACCCCTTAACTTGTGAGGTCTGCTGCCTCCCAGGGCCCACATCCAAGTTGTGGCTGAAAGGATCCCAAAACTTGTCCAGCCTCCAACTGCTACCCCATGCTCCTCATTCATGTGGGCATGAATGATACGGCCAGGAACAACCTTGGCCGGGGCATGAGACAATACAGGGCTCTGAGGGCTGGGCTCAAGGGGTCAGAGGTGCAGGTAGTTTTCTCCTCAGTCCTCCTGGTTGCAGGTCACGGGTACAGGAGGGATAGGTACATAGAAAAAGTTAGCAGAAGACTCCTGTTATGGTGCTACCCTGAGGGCTTCAGCTTCTTTGACCATGGCACACACCTCAGGGACTGCTGCCTTTTGGGAAGAGATGGCATCCACTTCATGACAAAAAGGGAAGAAGCTGTTCTCGGCTAGAATGGCGGACCTCCTGGGTAAGGCTTTAAATTGAGATCTCCAGGGGATGGGCCATCAACTACTAACACAAGCCTGAGAAATGGCAACCTCGAAACCAGCATCCCAGGGTACAATAGGAAGTTTTCTCTGACACCAGCCAATGAACAGGTTATTCCATAGCTTACTAGAGAGCCTAGGGCCTCCACTGGCAAGCTTAGTCGCCTGTAAACTAATGCCAGAAGCATGGGAAACAAGCAGAAGGAACTTGCCCTCCTACTAACCAACAAGCAAAATGATCTTATAGGGATTACAGAGACCTGGGGGGGACTCCACCTACGACTGACCCACAGGCATAGGGGAATACACCTTGTATAGGAGAGATCATGTTAGGAAGAAGCTCACTGGTCTTCTGTGTAGCAGTCCTGGTGCTACCAGGTCTGGGCAGGTGCATGCAGCACCCAGCACCAGGGCACAGCAAAGGCACAGCAGTCACAGGCTGCTGTGACTGGCCTGGGGCCAGCTTGAGTGGGACCCAGTAGCCAGAGGCTGGCTCCTGGTGGCCCAGGGTGCTGCCAGGCCTGGCAGGTGCCTGCAGCACCCAGCACAGTGTGACACCATGGGCTTGGCAGCTGCACAGCAACACAGTGTCACAGAGTAGCACTGGGGGGGCAGGCAGGCTGCTGGGGCTGGCCTGAAGCCTCTGCTGGAAGATGCAGTAGCTAGAAGCTGCCTGCAGGTGGCATCCTGGCATCCCTTCAGGCTTTTAAGGGCCTGGGGCTAGGCCTCTGAAAGGCAAAGAGCTGCAACAGCCCTAGTGCTGCAGGTGGTGCCCTGGTGGTGGGGCTGACCAGGAACAAATTTGCTCCCAATCAGTGTCTATACATGCATTACTGTGCAGTAATTACTCAGGAGTTCATTTGCTACTTGTATTTATAGGGAGCAAATTAACTCCCAAGTAGAACAAATTACTGTCCAGTAAGTGTCTGCACATGTAGATGATGACACTTACTGGACAGTAATTTGCTTTAGTTTGCAGTAAAGTGACTCATGGCTTCCCCAGAGAGAAAAGGAAGAGAATATATAGTTATGTGAGCAGAAGAATACATAAAAATCTGTGTCCTTCCTTCTCTAAAGACAGTGCTACAGGAGGGTTTGTAGGGATCAGTGTGGCCACACAGAAGCCAAATAGCCAATTTAACTTAATCTGTCCACCCAAAAATTGAGACCAAATGTCTTGGTGAAATTCTGCCACTTATAACACAGGAGGTGACAAGTGTGACAGTCCCTTTTGGTTCCAGAAAACCTTTAAAACCCAAAACAAGCATTTCTACAGACAATAAACAGCAAGAGGTGACAGTTGGAGCAAGATGAGTAGCTAACTCTAAAATGGGTTTAGGTTGGAATGAGACACTACAAAGTAGTGGGACTCTTCTTCTGTTCATCCTTTTTATTTTAATGTTTGAATGTATTTTAATATTTGTTATTTTTCCCACAAATATCAAATCATTTTGTACTTTCCTGAAAAACATTAGACAAGTAGTGACAGTAAGTACTGTCAGTAAGTACTATCATTTATATCCTTATATAGTCAGTTTAAACAAAATAGATTTAGAACTAAGAACTTGAAACAGAGACCAAAAAAGACAAGGGAAAAAGAGACATCCCAAGCAACACATAAAAGTTTCCTGACAAAATATACATTAAATCTTGTGTTGTTATAACTCCTATTTTATGAAATTGGATAAAAGCCATTATAATTGAGGTGTATAGGTAGACATCATATACCTCAGTTTTAGTCATAATTTGGGAGTAGCAGTGCAGATGTTCTATATTTTTCAAAGTAATAGAGCAGAATATGAACCATCTATATACTGCATTTCTTTCTTGATATCATTGCTTAGAAAGGATGAATGTTCTCAAGGTAAAGGCAGTGGATTGCGCTACAGAAAACCTGCTTTAATTCCTGGTTCTTTCATTGGCTTCCACAAGTTAGTTACCCTCTTTCTGTGTCCCTTCCCCATTTCTAAAATAGGCATAATATGACTTCCTTTGTGTGTCTTGTATATGTGAGTTCTTGGGGGGGGGGGCAAGGGGGGCTCTTATGGCCGTGATCTTGCTAGCATGAACAAGTTTAACTTATAAAATGTATCTTTTCTAACTTATCTAAATGTCTATCTTAAAGAATATCTTTGGCACTGTAATAATAGGTGTTTTTCTGAATTGCATTCAATAATCATTGGATAAAATGCATAAATAGCACTGGGAGCAGGGGCCAGAACCTAGGTCCCTTTCCCTCTAAAGAACACTGGACTACAGTTATCATCCCTTTTGCATGTTTTCCTTTTTGGCCTCATCACTCTTGCATTCTTTTTGGCCGGCTGTCCCATCACCAAGGGATAGGAAGGGATTAGGAGTGCCCTCACAGCCCAGCCACACCTATAGCCTGATGGTTAGGAAAGCTTCCTGAGTTACAGATGGATTCAAATTCCCTTTAGCTGGCAAAGCCTACAACCCAAGTGTCTCACACAATGGGTAACTCCCCTAACCACTAAACTACTGGGTGAAAAGTAGGTGGGTCCTTCTTCTTCCTCTCTTTTGTAAATTAAGCACTTCAACCTAAGACAATGGCTCATTACAAAAACAGGCACATTAATGGCTTTCTAGGAATTTCAGAAGAAATTTAGAGATGTGGACACTGAAAAGCCAACTAGGTCTTACTTAGAAGCCTGATAGGTGGATTAGGATCAGGCCTTCAGTCTTACTGCTATAACGAAAACAGTGAATAATAACAACTTATCACTGTGCTTCATGCACATCACAACACTTTCTGCTATAAGTATCTTATTAAATACATACATTAAATCAAACATTTCACTATATCTGGGTACACTATCAGGTCCCAATCCTATGAAGGCTTACACATGCGAGTAACCTTCCTACTACAGAGAGCATAAAGTTAGGTGCAAATATAAATCTCTGCAAGATCAGGGCCTTAATAAGTGAAAGCCATCTTAGGCAATGGTAAAAATATCATCTTGTCAACAGTACTTAGAAATTTGTTTTATCCCACACCACCTGTTCCTCGTACCAGAAAGGATCATATTAAGAGTTCTGTCAATATTGTGTGAGGCAACTTAAGTAAATGGAGAAAAGTTCATATTACATAAGATTTTGCAGTTACTGTGAAACACTCTAATTGCTTCAGTTTACTTAATGTGTGACTTTACTACTTTGGAAAGAACACATTTTAAGGATAACTGCCTTGCCCCATCCCACAGCAAAGAAGATGGCATTTGTATGAGAAAGATCTTTTCAGAAAGCAGGATAGATATGCACCTTAATAGACTAACTAAGTAAGATATACAGAGAGAGAGCACAACCTTTGCAGGCTGAAGCTCACTTCATCAGATGCTGTGAAAGGACATGCAAGATCTTTTCAGACTACAACAAAGCAAGTCTTAGTTTTCACATAACTCTTAAATCCCAGTATGGGTAAAGACTGTATTTGTCTTACATTTAATAACTTACAAATTACCATATTTTCATTCTAGTCCTCTCTTACCTCCAACACCAGTAAGATTCTATGCTGCTACTATCTTTCTTATATTAAGGAGTAAATAAGTAAGTATAAACCCTACCATTATCAGAACCATGCCTCTCACATGCCAGTATTGTTTCTACCCCCTCCCTCCCCTCACTTTTTCTCATGTGTTAGCTCACACCAGACACCTTTTTGTCTTTCCAGTTGCTGTGCCCCAGAAGACAAATCTGTTGTTGATCTTGGGAGCCTGGTATGAACTTAGCAACAGAATTTCTAACCTTTTTAACACTTCAGGGTCAACATCAGCATCAGCAGTTGGACTGAAAAACATGCAAGATCAAAGTCCTCCACTCCCACCATTGATTATTTTCCTTTCCTGACATCCATATTGCTGACAGAAACCAGCATTTTTAATTGTAAAAAGGAAAATATCTGATGGGAAACTGAGGCTAGATTAATAAAACCTAAAAACAAATTTTAAAAATTGTTCAGTTTTAAGGGCAATAGGAAAAAAATATTTTAACAAAATCTCGCCCCTGAAGGGTTTGTAAATCAAACATTGTAGCATTTGCTCTGAAGGGACCTTGAAACTAAATAAGAACTGACTTTAAAACCCATAAAAACTGACTAAACTTATTTTCTCTGTCAATGCTGAGATATGCAAAAAAATAAACATAATAAATCACAGAAAGCGAGTTTGTTTATGAAACTATGAAATTATAATAACAAAAGGTGTTATTTGCAGCGTAGGTAAGGATTTTTTTAATGTAATTTTTAATCCAAGGGTATCTCTTCAAGTCTACATTTGAAAGAAAATGGCTTATTTTTCTTTGCTGTGGTTGAAATAAGATTCTATTCTGTTGTCCGACATCATTTGTCTCTGCTGACCCTGAGATGGCCGAAGTTGTGGAGGAATTTAATGAAAATGCCTCCAAGTGTCTAATACTTCCAAGCTGTT